CAGGAAACCTCAGCTGGACTCACGACTGTTCTCTTGGAAAACTCACCTGCCTATCGGACAGTCTTAGCAGCCCTGATCGTCCTGTGGACGGTGTCCCACTGCCATCCCCCGGGAGCCACGGGGCTGTGGAGGGGTGACTAAGGTCACAGCAGGGCAAGAAATGCACGGATGAGTCCAGACCATCTTGTGCCAGAAAGCAAGGCGGTGTCACAGGTTACCATGACCACTGAAAACTCACAGGAACCAACTTAAATAACCTGTCAAAAGGGGACCAGACCGCTTGACATCACAAGAAAAATCACCTCAGAACACGAGGAGCCCGTGCATTCACAGTAAGTTCTTAAAAGACCCCATGAGAAGTTAGTAGGGCACCGACTCACTATTCTGAAAACTGACAGAGAAAAAAGAAACAGGTGTTGATCCCACTCGTCATCTCGGGTGGGACTTTATGCCAGCCACAAGGCTGATGACAAAAGACCTTCGGGGCAGAGTTTCAGCTAAGAGACCGAGAGGAATGATGGCATCAGAAATTCATGATGGAATGTTGGATTGAGTCACACACCAGTGAACGTGACAATGACAAGGAATGGAGGAAGGCTTCACAGGGTGTGAATGCAGCAGACCCCATAAGATGAAACTCCCAGACCTCGTAAGCCTCATGGTGACAGTGGTAGGAAGGACGTGACAAGCACTGTGGTCTTCTTCTTTTAAAATAAAGTCACTTTTGTCATTTTTTTGTGTGGGGGAACTGGGGTTTGAACTCAGGCCTTTGTGCTTGCAAATCAGGTGATCTGCTGCTTGAGCCACCCCTCCAGTCCCCATTTTGCTCTGGTTATTTTGGAGATGGGGGTCTCATGAACTATTTGCCCAGGCTGGCCTAGAACCACCATCTTCCCGATCTCAGCTTCCCGAGTAGATAGGACTATAGGTGTGAGCCACTGGCACTCAGCTTTGTTTAGTTCTGAGTTGAGTAAAGTGACAGAAAACAGAATCCTTCAGATAATCAGAAACATTTTAATATTTGTTGGATAATAGAATAGTGTTGAGTTTTTTTCTTCATTTGTGTGACAATTGTATGATGGAGACATGTGTGTGTGTGTCTATATATATATTTATACATTTCTATGCTGGGGGTTGAACCCCAGCCCTGGATCTGAGTTTTAAAGGCTTTATCAGACACACATGTCAAAGTTGGGATATGTTTTATAATACTCCAGTCAATAAAAAGGGAGGGGCAGAGTTGGGGCAGAAGACAAGAGGGCTGGCGGTAGCTCTTGAGTCTGATCAATGTGGAACTGATCAGGGTTGAGGTCAATTACACTAGTCCCTCTACTTTTGTGTGTGTTTTCATTTTTCTACAGAAAAATAATACAGCTGTGTACAACCTAGGTTGGTGCAAGTTACTGTCACTACAATAAAGTTGATTTTATGTTAAGCAAGTATCACTTTTTCCTATTGTTTGTTAAGAAGACATTTATAGCATAATTGTATGGACATATAATTGTCCATGTTTGTGAGCAATAAAAAAACCCTCACAGCTGGGTATTGTTGCACACCCCTATAGTCCCAGGACTTGGGAGGTGGGGGGCAGGAATGGTAAGTTGGAGGCCAGCCCGACCTACCTATGAGGCTCCCTCTCAAAAACAAAAATCACCATAGATGAAATTTGGCTATAAATTTTTATATTTCTCAAGACAATCAATTTTGAACTGAAGAAGAGCAGTTTTTCACGGGGCCGGTGCATAATTTTAAAATCATAAACTGATCAAGTGTGCAGACAGACGACTGGTACTTTCCCCTGAGCATATGGAAAGGCTCATTTCACCAGGAGCCGGGGAGCCGACCTTAGCAGGAAGGAAGCGCCCCGCCCACCTGTGCATTTGGCAGGTCCCTGGAGACAGGGACAGCAGGTGCTGCTTCCCAGCCACACCTACTTGTGCGTGTCCCCAAACCATGCTTAGAAAACAGCTCCGATTTCCAGTCGCTTTTCCCAGAACTCGAAGATCGCCTTCCTGTTTATCTTGGTGGAATGCCTGCGCTGCACTTGGGATTTTTCTGTTCTCTGGGACGTTTTCAAACGAGACCATCACAGACGGGGAAGCCAGGGGTCACTCGTCACAATCACATGTTTGATTTCCTGAGTAGGAAAGACACTCCACCGCCGTGAATTTTTAGCATTTTTAAGGAGTATAGGACTGGACCTCATGAAGCAAGTCCTGTCCCTGGGTTTCCTCAGGGGCTGTCACAGTCATTTCCCAAGTCACCTCCTCACTCAACTCAGTCTTCTTTTAGTGCATCTCTGGTCAGTTCTCAGGGGCTACTTACTGCCTATGGTTTAGGAAAACAGTTCCCGTGGGGCACCGGGAAGTCATACAAGTGGCTATTCAGCTTTCGTCCAGGTTGGCGCAAGGGATCCAAGCAACTTGCGAGGCTGAGATTGGGAGGATAGTGGTTCCAGGCAAGCCCAGGGAAAAGTTTATGAAACTCTACTTCAATGGAAACACAAAACAAAACAAAACAAAACTGGGTGTGGTGGTGCCCGTTTATCATCCCAGCAATAGGATCACAGCCCAGGCCAGTGTGGGCAAAAATTAAGACCCTATCTCCAAGATAACCAGAGCAAGAAGAGCTGCAGGTGTGGCTCCAACAGTTTAGCAAAGCACACAGCCCTGAGTCCATATGGAGACATAAACGATTTCCTGGGTTAGACTTACACAGTCATTTTAAATGAAATTCAAAGATTATTACTTTTGGTTTTTGTGGTACCTGGGTTAGAACTCAGGGCCTACATCTTGAGCCACTCCACCAGCCCTTTTTTGTGATGGGTATTTTTCAGACAGGATCTCTCAAATATTGGCTGGCTTCAAACCGCGATCGTCCTGGCCTCTGCCTCCTGAGTAGCTAGGATTACAGATGTGAGCCACTTGTGCCTGGCTCAGATTGTTTTTTAATACCTACAAATAACTAAATTTAGAAGAATCAAGTGTTTGTGGAATGAACCCCCCTACTTAGAATAGTTCCTGTCCTTGTGAAAAGTTAAGAAACATTTACGTTTAGTCTAGCAAAAGACCGAAAAGTATCATGTCCTTCTTGTATTTAAACGCCGTGCGCGATGTGTGCAAGTGAACTATTTCTAAGGCAGATTTTGTTAACTGTGAAGTAGCTCCTCTAGTTTTAGTTTAGTTTTAGCAATTGTGAATTACTTTGCTTTGACCCTCAACAATGTGATGGGCAGAGCTCAGCAAACCCTTCCTTCCTTCCTCCCCTTCCCTCCCGTTCCCTCTCCTATGCCACTTCAAATTTAGGGTTGTCCTGTGTTGCAAATCCCTACCCTGGGCTGGGAGCCTCCAAGCACAGTGTGATGAATTCTTTGGCATTCCTAGGGCAGGCGCTCTACCGCTTGAGCCACTCTGCCAGTCCCTTTTTGTGTTGGGTATTTTTTGAGATAGGGTCTTGCATTTTGCTGGAGCTGACCTGGAACTGTGATCCTCCTGGTCTCTGACTCCTGGGAGGCTAAGATTACAGGTGTGAGCCACTGACACCTGCTTCCTAGGGTGTTCTGAAAACATCTGTTAAGCAGCCTTGCTCGTAATGAACAATGTCACCTCAATGCATTTAATGAAGCTCTGGAACAGTGGAGGCAGTCTGAGGTCTTAGAGAGAGAGTGTTTGTAGTTTGGTTTGAAACTTGAAGCCGTGACTGTAATACTCACTTCAGTTCCCAAAGCACAGGCTAATCAGAATTACTGTCCTCCTTCACCAGACGCCATTCATGTCTGTAATAGAAATTAATAATTTTTTTCTGGGAGGGGTGCACCATTCCTGGAGGTACCCCAATACCAGTGGATGCGTGGATGGAGCGAGATCCTCTTCCATCTCCCTGCTCCAAAAATCCATATAATATATTGACCCCGGATACAGGACGAGGTTTCAGATGTGAAACTGGTAAGAACAGACACTACGTGATCTTAGTCAAAAGGCTGAGAAGCGATAGAATTTAGTGGTTTTAAATTCGGTCTAGTTGACAAAGGACTTCGGGATTGCAGGGCTTTTTGTTTTGTTTTGTTTTTAATTATTCTAAACCAGGTGCCAAGCATCTGTAACCCAGCACTTGGAGGCTGAAGTAGGAGGACGTAAGGTCCAGGACAATCTACATAGTGAGGCCCGCCTCAAACTCTTCCCCCACATCAAAAAAAAAAATCTACAAAGTGTCTTAGGGCAATTCCTTCTAGTCCTCTTTTTTAAATTTTTTTGGGGGTGGGGTGGGACTGGGGTTTGAACTCGGGGCTTCATGCTTTAGAGGCTGGTGATCCACCATGTGAGCCACACCTCAAGCTATTCCTCTGCGCGTGACCTCGGACCAGTTGCTCCACTTATTTCCGTTTCCTCCTCTGCACCGCCAGGGTCGCGCGGGCAACCGCGCAGCCACAGCGGCCCGGGGCGCGCGCCCCGCGGGCCCGGCGAGGGAGGCCGTGCGCCCCCGGCAGGTGTCGGCCGCGCGCCCCGGGCGGAGCCGCGAGGGGCGGAGGGAGGAGGAGGGGGGGCGGGGCGGAGGAGGGGGGGGCGGAGCCGCGAGAGGGAGGGCAGGGGCGGGGCGGAGGAGGGCGGGGGAGGGGAGAGGGGAAGGGCGGGGAGGAACCGGTGGAGGAGGAGGCGGGGGCGCGCGGGCCGGGTGGAGCCGCGAGGGGAGAGGAGGGAGGGGCGGGGTGGGGGGCGAAAAGGGAGGGGAGGGGAGGGGCGCGGCGCCCAGGCCCAGCCCGCCCGCGCCGCGTGAGCGCGGCCCCCGCCCTCTCCGCCCGCGCGCCGGGTCGCCGGGGCCGTGGTGTACGTGCAGCGCGCGCGGAGCGAGTGGCGCCCGCAGGCCCGCGCCCTGCCCGCCCGGCCCCGGACGCGGAGGAGGCGGCTGAGCCCCTGTCTCCCTCCCCCTCGCCCGCCCGCGGTGCAGGCCGCGCCGGCCCACGCGATGCGGCGCTGAGTGAGGTTCGGGGGCTGCGCGGGGGCCCGGCGGCCCGGCGGCGAGGGCGAGGGCGCGGACGGCCTCCCCGAGCGGGCGGCGGTGTATGGCGCCGTGACGGCCCCGCCGTCGCCGCCCCGCGCCCGGCCCCGGCCCAGCCGCCCTGCCGCCATGGCCAGTGACAGCGGCGGGCCCGGCGGGCCGAGCGCCAGCGAGCGAGACCGGCAGTACTGCGAGCTGTGCGGGAAGATGGAGAACCTGCTGCGCTGCGGCCGCTGCCGCAGCTCCTTCTACTGCTGCAAGGAGCACCAGCGCCAGGACTGGAAGAAGCACAAGCTCGTGTGCCAGGGCGGCGAGGCCGGCTCCGCGCCTGCGTCCCGGGCCTCGGGAGCCGCCACCCTCGCCGGGGCCACCACCGGCGCCGCTGCCGCCGGGGCGCGGGCGGCCGGGAAGGCGGCTCCTTCGCGCCGGGACTGCGCCGAGGCCGCGCGCGCGCCGGCCCCCGGGGACGCGGCCCAGGCCCGGGGTGGCCGCGGCCCGGCGGAGCCCGGCGTGGAGGAGCCGCCGGCCCGGCGCTCGCCCGGCCCCGAGCGCGCCAGCCTGTGTCCCGCGGGCGGCGCCCCCGGCGAGGCGCTGAGCCCCGGCGGCGGCCTGCGGCCCAACGGGCAGACGAAGCCGCTGCCCGCGTTGAAGCTGGCGCTGGAGTACATCGTGCCGTGCATGAACAAGCACGGCATCTGCGTGGTGGACGACTTCCTGGGCAGGGAGACCGGGCAGCAGATCGGCGACGAGGTGCGCGCGCTGCACGACACCGGCAAGTTCACGGACGGGCAGCTGGTCAGCCAGAAGAGCGACTCGTCCAAGGACATTCGCGGCGACAAAATCATCTGGATCGAGGGCAAGGAGCCCGGCTGCGAGACCATCGGGCTACTCATGAGCAGCATGGACGACCTGATCCGCCACTGCAGCGGGAAGCTGGGCAATTACAAAATCAACGGCCGGACGAAAGTAAGTGTCGGGGACGCGCGCCCGCAGGGCCCGAGCCACACTTCCAGCCTTCTCCCAGCCCCGGCCACCCCGTGGGACACGAGAGACCCTGGCTCTGGCCCTGCGTCCACCTGCGTTTGCCCAGGCCGCCCGGTGCCCACGGGGGCGGGACCCGGCTCTGATGGAGAGTGGCCAGCTGACCCCAGAAGGCTGCAGGAAGGGCTTAGGGCCCCCCTCCCCTCCCCCAGTAGCTTTGTGCCACTCTGTCCCTGCTGTGTGGAAGCCACTAGAAAACGGGGCGAGAGGTGTTTCCGTCTTCAGCTCTCGGCGGAGGTTGGTCACACTTTAGCGTAGGTTTCCTCTGTTTGTTCATAGGGTCCCTCTTGAAAACGGGCTGCCTTGTGGCTTCCTGGGGAAAAAAAAATCAAAACAGCACGGATTTGGACCGGGAGGGCGCGTTTCAACGTCTAGTTGGGCTAGATCTTTCTGTTTTCGCTCACTGCGGGGGTTTGTCCCCTAGTCCTGCGGTAAACAAATCTCACCACTCTTGATTTGGCTGCAGACCTCATCTTCCCTTTGTGTCCAGCCTCCAGGGCCGCCCTGCTCCACCCTTCTTCCCATCCCTCTGTCTGATTCCCCGAGTTGTGCGATTGTTTGGGGAACCCTCACGCACGTGTTGGTACACAGGGCCCTTCCCAGTCGTCTTCTCTAGGTGTCAGACGGTCTGTTTTGACACTTACGTGTGACTGCCAGGCCGTCCCAGCGGAGGTAAGAAGGAGATTCCTAAACATGAAACTGGGCAAAGATACAGTGGGCTGTCTGGTTGATACCTCACAGAACCAGAGCTGGACGAAGGCACATGCCTTCATACTATTTAGGCTCAAATAATTGCTTAAAATTAAGCTGTGATGGAACATAGAGGATCTGATTAAACATCAGCCTTGGTCTTTTGCAAGATCTTCGTTTATAGTTTTAAAAAGAAAGGTGGTCATTGATCAAATGTGAAGGGAGTCATGAGCTCCAGAGCAGGAAGCAGCTCCTGTGGGGGAGTAGTTCTGGGACCCTGTGCAGTCTGGCCTCAGCTTAAGTTGGAGTCCTGCAGAAAAAGGTGGTGTCCTAAATCTTTCTGAGCTACCTCCTTAGGTAATCGAGCTCTCTTGGGAGTAAGCTGAGACCTCTTTGCTATCTCTCCCATTTCTTCCTGTCCTTGTCAGGGGAAGGGGCAACTCAGTCTGGCCCTCAGGGCACACGGTCTTCTGGGAAGCTGTTAGAACAGTCACCTCTGTCCTCAGGGGTCTCAGTAGCTGGTTTAAGTGGCTTGACTGAAGGTGTTGTCATAGTAAGGGACAAGCTGAGGGAAAGATGGCTTGTACATTTTGCCCTTGATGGTATGTCTGCAGTAATTTCAGATCTGTGAGTGATCTTAGGGAATTCATTTCATTTGTACTTCTTGGTTGAACGAATTTTGGTAATCTTGTTTGGACTTGTAACTTAAGTATTCCTAAAAAAACAAAGGTGCTTGTTTTGAGGGGATGAGAAGGCAAACACTCCCCCGATATTGAGCAACTGGATTGTGTGAGGCCTCAGATAAGGGCAAGCTCCTGCAGTCTCAGTGCTGTCTAGAGGTGGCTGTAGCCCTCATACATTGAAGGGAGTTTCAGCACACACTCAGCCAGGGCCTGCCACTGAGGAAAAGCTGGCTCAGGTCCAGTGCCGGTGACTCCCACACAACCCATGCTTCTGTTACACTAGGTGTGGATGGGTGTGGGGCGAGAAGGGCCTGCCACTAACGCTGGGTACGTGTTTCTGTTGATAGCAGGTCGAGCTGTCAGCTCTTAGGTAAATGATCATACCCTACGATTGGACTGTGTAAACTTTTTGATCAGGACACTGTACCATGCTTATTGCATACCGTGGCTTAAAAGCTAGTTTTGCATTTAACCAAGTCATGGCTCCTTCAAGTGTAACTCTGAAGAGGTGTCACAGCGTGGCTGCCGTCTGCGTTGCATGGATCTTCACGCTATTACAGTGATTTTAAAGGTTCCTTCCTCAAACCTGTGCTCTCGGAACAGCAGGTGGGCAGAGGTGTTTTACCCTGGTTCTAGATCTGGAGGGTGGGAGGAGGGAATCCTGCACAACACAGACCTGAGCTCAGGTCTTCCAACCACGTGTTGGGTACTCTTCACTTCATCATCCACACCGCATGCCCTGTTTGTGTGTCAGGCGGTGGGCCATGGGCCGTGGGCCACGACCTCCTCAGTGCTGGCTTTGGTTTTCCGAGTGTCTACCTCAGACGCGCTCATCTTGCCTGTGTTTCCACAGCCTCTGTAGAAGAGGAACCATGAGGGAAGAATGAAGTAATAATGCAGAAGAAAACAGAAATGCAATTGTTGCCACTGTTGTGAGCCAGCTTTACCTTCCACTTTCTCTCATCTGCTCTTGGGATTTCCCCCTTTGCTCTTAAGCTTCCCTTTGATCCCTGCCTTCCTCCCATTCTGTCTCATCAGGAAGATGAGACTTGCAACCGTGTTCAGAATGCAGCAGTGTCAGAAGTCATAGGTACTGAGCTGGAGGTGTGACTCAAGTGGTGGAGTGCTTGCCTGGCAAGCACAAGGCCCTGAGTTCAGCCCTCAGTACTGCCAAAACCCAAAACCATAAGTACCTTGGACGAGTATGGTAGTATTCTTCTGTAATCCCACCTATGTGGTAGGCAGAGGTGGGAGGAACATAGTCTGAGGCTGGCCTGGGGAAAAAGTCAGACCCTATCTGAAAAATAAGCCAGAGCAAAAAGGGCATGACTCAAGTGGTACATTTCAAACCCCAGTACTGCCAAAAAAAAAAAAAACAGAGAGAGAGAGAGAGAAAGAAATCATCGGTACCTCAACTAGGGTAGAGGGAAAAGAGGAAAGCATAGAATGAGAGCTGTGGGGAAATGCTGAGCCTTCCTGTTGGTGTCTCACTGAGGCAAAACATTTGTCCTTAAAATTATGGGGAGGTTGAGGCAGGACGGTCATGAGTAGCCAGTCTGGGCTACATATTGAGATCATGTCTCAAAAAAAAAAAAAAAGCCAGGTGGTGGCAGTGGCTCACGTCTGTAATCCAGCTACTCAGGAAGCAGAGTTCGGGCGATCATGATTTGAAGCCAGCCAGGGCAAATAGTTTGATGAGAGGCCCTATCTTGAAAAAACTCGTCACATGAAAGGGCTGGTGGAGTGGCTCAAGTGGTAAGAGCACCGGCTTAGCAAGCATGAGGCCCTGAGTTCAAACCCCAGTGCTGGAAAACAAAAAACAGACATTAAAAAATAAAGTGACTAGAAGCATGTGCATGTGGATTTAATCCACAGCTTCATCTGTTCAATTAAACGGGTGTGAAGAAAAGGGATGAGAGAAGAAGTTGAGGCAGGAAGCACCCATTGTGTCACTAAGACTTTTCATTAGCCCTTCAGGTAATCAGTCAGCTCTGGCTTATTGTGGCTTTTAGAGCAAAGGATAGAGTGAGGAGAACCCTGCAGCTTGATCATTGCTGCCATAGTCCTCGTAGGTGTTAAAAGCAAGGCCACCTTGTGGCCACAGTGAGAGGACAGATGCCTGCCAGCCAGGAACTGGGCCACGCTGGCTCCTGAGCCCAGACTCCAGCCCCAGTCAGTGCTGTGAGACACGAGGTCAGAACCCTGTGAGATGCCTCCTCTTCCCACCTCTGCTCTGCCCTTAAAATGGTTTGTGGATGGTCAGTGGCTGTGTCAAGAGTTTAAGGTCGCAGTCAGCTGTCCTGGGTGTGGAGAGACTGGAGGTGACACTTGGGACCCCCCAAAGGGTTGCCTGAATAATGTGCGAGGTGCCAAAGTCACTTTTGTAGAAAAGCACTTTGGTCAAGTGCATTGGTTTACGTGCAGTGAACACCCTTATTTGTTTGTTTGTTTTGTGGAGCTGGGGATTGAACCCAAGGCCTTGCACATGCTAGGCAAATGCTCCAAACCCTTCATTCTAAAGAATTTTATTTCAGGTAAGAAGTTAGTGTATGTTACAGCTCTTTGTATATTATCTAATAAGCTACAAAACCTCCTGCAAACCTCTCGTTGTGCTGTTGGGGAGGAAGGGGTCTTGAGTCCCTGTCAGGTCCAGATAGGATCCTGGGTCTGCTGTTGTGACTGTGTCCTTGGGCTGTGGTAGGTTCTTCTCTCCAGGGCTCAGTTTTCCATTTGTGAGTGGTGTTGCAGGACACCTGTCTCCCGGGCCACTCAGGCTCGTTCCTCAGGAGGCCATGCAGCCCTGTGTGACTAAAGCCCCTCCAGGTGTGAAGCGGTGTGCAGACTGCTGTTACAGTTGAGTACTCACTCTTCCCCTTTTCCCTTTAAACATCTGTAAGAGTCCAGTGCTTCCCTGTGTCTTCTCTTACAAGCTGGAGGGGGAGAGCTCAGAGCCATTTACACCTGACACTTCCCACACAGACGCCCGCATTTGCATTTTTTGAGTGCAGTTGACTCCTTCAAGGACATGGAGCTGGTGTGTGACAGAGGCGGTAGGCACTGGCTCGCCTCCCTCTGCTGTCTGCAGCTCTGTGTGTCCCTCTGCCTCTCATGTGGAGGTCCTGCTGAACTGATTTTGGTGTATTTTTGCCATTTTGAGGACATGCCTGAACGTCCTCTTCCTTCCCGCTCTTGGTTTGCCTTATCTGGCGCTGCAGCCCAGCTTCCTGCCTGATGGTCTCTGGTGACCCTGCTGTTCTTGCCCACCTCTGTCTTTCCTCTGTCCTTGTGGAAGCCTCGTCCTCTGGGACAGGCCACCCTCTTTGGCTTCCTCTGCAGTTGCTGTCTCTCGCTCTGCTCTGCGGCTTGCTCTCTGCCTCTCCCCTGTTGGGCCTGGAATCTGCCTTTGTTCTTTTCCTGTGATTTCTGAAGCCATTCCTTTCTGGTATGCCTTTGAATCGATGTTACCAGCTCAAGTTGTTTTTATTTAGTTTTTCTCTTTAGGCCTTTAAAGCTGCACCCGCTATTTCAGCCTTCCTTTCATTCTAGCACCTT